GAATATTGATATATTTCACCAAAAGAAGAAGACATGTCGATAAGAAGATTGGTCACATAGGTGAAGTTTTTTGGAGCGTACTGAACTTTCATATCCCTTTGCTTCGTAATGATCTAACTTGAGGTGATCTGATAGTGTAAAATTTCTTTTATATTATCCACAAATACAAATGTGGGAATTATTCTATGTTTGAATTAAGCAAAACAATTTATGAGAGTTATTATGGTACAAGTCATTTCATCGTCATTTTATGTTGTTAGTCCCACAAAAGATTCTCAATCTGTCAAAAAAGAAAATATGTCTTCCACTTTTCTCTCTCAATCTATGCCCACTTTTAAATGTTTCACAAAAAAAGAGATGTAACTAAATATAAGGTTACTAGTCCTCATCATGTCCCCTATGTCTCTAATTACCATAACATATAGTTTATATATAATTTAATTCACTCAATCGAGCCAGTTACATGTAGTTATTTTTTTAATTTAACGTATTATAGCATATTATAAGAGTATCTTCTTATGAACAAAATGAAAAGTTAAAATTTTAAAAAAAATTGAAAATTTTGGAACTGACTATAGAATAAAAAAAATACTTGTAAGGATATTGTTAAACTTTCTCGTATTAGTATTTGATCTTTAAAAAATCAAATATCATTTCGAATTGATCTTGAGCAAGATATATATATATTAGTCCAAATTAACTAATCACCAATCTCCATGATTTAATGTTCCCAAGAACATTTTTAATAATTAGCCTATCCTTAAACCCCACATCCTAGGTTAATTTTTAAAAATTCTAAATTAATGTGAAAAAAAAATATTTTTTATATTTTTATTTATTTATTTGTCCCCCAAGTCCATCACAAGACTTACACGTGACACCCTAACACCCAACACTACTAATTAACAGATTAAACACAAGAGTTTAAGCCTTAATCCCAAAAATTACCGACATCTTCACGTTGCCCCGCCGCTTGGCACGCGGCTCGAGGTAGTCGAATAGAAAAATATCTTGTTGAGGCTTCTCGTGAGATTAAATAAACGAATAATAAAGAAAATAAAAAATATATTAAAATTAAAAGCTAAAAAATTAAGATTTATTAATTTTTGTACTTACTCATTTGTTGCCCACCACCTAGAAAAGCACATCCACTAAACTTAATTAGTGTATTTTCTTTATTCTATTAATTTTTAAATAGATGGTACTAATCCAAAACTTATAATACTAAGTTAATTACAGGTTTTGCTTTGATGAAGATAAGTTATTGTAAGGCAAAGCTAATTAATTTATTTGATTAAAATAGTAATTAGGTATACATTCTTCCACTAAGTTTTGGTAGTGCTTGCTTTTTGTATACTCACATGCTTTGCTTTTATTATCATACTTTAGGTTAATGAACTATTAACAAATATATGGACCACCAAATTTTGCGATAAAGTTATGCGTACTGTTTTTATTCTTAATTATAGGTCTCGTATTTGAGTTGTGAAAATAAAATTACATGTGATAAAGAGCAATTTACCTCTAAAATGAGATTTTTCTGAACTCAAATTCAAATTAATCAGATTTCAAAATGGATATTATCCGATGCTAGATGAAAAAAAAAAAGATGTTGAACAAATGACATGTTTTAAAAATAAAATAACTTGAGACTAATTCTTAGCTAGTGCTTTTCTTTTGTTTCTCAGTTGATATATGATATTTATAAACAACGTAATGAAATTTGATTAAACTTAAAGTTTATGTGGCAAAATATAATATTCGGGGTCAAAACTAGTAAGTATATATGCTTCATATAAGAACTAGATGGATCCCTAAAAGGTGGATTGAAAAATATGTGTTAATTTTTTATTCATTTGTTTTTTGAGTTGTCAACTATATAATGAGGTAAAAAATATATACTTTAATTATTTGAAAACTAAATATGCTTAGTCATAAAACACAATGATCAAGATTATAATTTATGATAATTAAGAGACAACATATATATTATTAATCTTGATCTTCTTTTTATTTTTATTTCACACCTGATGTCCAATGCTCCATATCTAATTATATTAGAGTCTGAATAAATCTGAGATCTCTAATTATTTTCATGATCTATAATGAAATAGCACCAACACACGTTTAAAGAGTTGCTACATATAACCCTCAACAATTATTTGAGCAGTAACTCTTGGTTATTCTTTTTTTTTTTTGTTTGGTAAAAAAATTGTTATTAATAATGAACTATTAAAGAAATATATGTGTGGCTCTTAACAAATTCATAAATTTGTCAAGAACATTTTTAGTATAATAACGATTTGTATGTTGGTGAAGGGATAAATATGAGATTTAATTTAAAGGATGTCTAGGCTAAAAATTCCTAATTTTATTGATCTAATAAAGAAAAATATTAATTGTATTGAAATAAAACAAAGTCAAGAAATCTTTGGCAGGCTCCCGAATGGTCCTACTTGACATGAATCTGAATTAGTCAAACTTTAATAAACTTATCAGACACCAAATGAAAAACCAAGAAAAAATACAGCGGATCAAATATAGAAAATTAATCATGTCATATAATTAAACTTCTACATTATAAGAATGAAATTTTAATCATTTTTCTATAAATACCACAAGTCAATGGATATGATCCTATAAGAAAATACTTATGCTAATTAAATGATGGATTAAGGTAAAAACATATATTAATTAACTATAATTTAGTGATATCAGTGTCCATTTATATGCTAATTATTAATTATGAAGAAATGATATTCTTAAAATGTTGAATATTGTATTAAATGGTGAATCAAAATTATCTAATAAAAAAAGTAAAGACATTAAATAGAAGGCTAAAAACAGATCTTAATATTTTGACCAAAAAAAATAATAGAAAAAACCATTTACAGAATGTGGAAAAAATAAATAAATGACTATCCATAAAATATCAAATATTTAGTACCAAAATCTAATCTTCTTTAATATTCATTCACCATTTTTTTCTTATAAATTTAACCTTGAATGTTCTATTTTGACTAAATTCAGACTAAAAATCTTTATACAATTCAATTCTCGATGAACAAACTAATTTGATAATTTAGATATTATTATTCGGATATCGAAGTCAAATGGATTTGTTTTTTTATCCAACAAAAGGATGTTCATTTGCAATTGAAGTTGGCTATTTTGACACTATTTTAGAGGTAAAAGAGAAGATACAAAAATATCAAGGTATTCCAATACCAAAACAAACACTAATCTTCAAAGGTAACGTTTTAGCTGATGATCTAAATGTTCATTATTCTGATATCCTTGACCGATCTCACATTCAACTCGTCACAGATTTCGAACCGAATAAGAATGTTGTGGTTAAGTTGGACCATCAAAAAATCAAACTCCTCCTCAAAATGTCGACGTCGACCAAACCAGCTATCATGTTAAAGGTGGACATTACAGTTAGCCTTCGAAGGATAAAAGAGAAAATCCACGAAATGAAAGGCATACAAGTGAGTAAATTAATACTGCTTGCGAATGGACTCGAATTGATTGATCATTACCGCCTTCAAGATTATGGATTTTCAGATAATTCAGAAATTGATGTTAGTATCAGGTCTGGTACCATTGCATTCCCACCAACAACAACAACATCTTCAGAATCGTCCGTGAATAACTAAAACGGACCAAAGAAATTAATAATTACTCCATAATTTTGTCTAAATATACTACATAGTACTAAGAAAATTCTAATCGAAGGATGCCATATTTGTCAAGGTGACACAATTGAGATCTTTAAGGGTAGTGTATTGGTGGAGATTAGTTTTTTATTATTATTTAATCGTGTGTTTGTGATATATTATCTTGAATATTGTTATAAGCAATTTAATATATTTTACTAATATATATAAAAGTTTGAATAGTTTTATTCAAAGATCCAAAATATTTATTGTTAAAAGTATAATAGAGTCTTTCTTTCATTCATTCTTTTTTTATTAAAGATTTTTTACTTTTTCATTTTTTCTACAAACTTAAACATTATTTAAGTGAAAATAAATTCATAATTTATCTTGATTAAAAGTGAAAAAATAAGGTAACAATGTGTATTAGATAACTTCTCTCTTTGTCCCAATTTATGTATCATAATTTGAATATGTGAGGGTCAAATGTTTTATTTTGACCGTGAATTTGAACACAAGATCTTTAATTTTTTGAAATATAATTTATGTATCTGAAAACCACATTAAAAATATTATAAGATGCAACAATTAACAACTTAGAGTATTTAAAAGACATACGAAAAAAAATCACGATTAAAAAACTCATTTTTTCAAAATCCGAACACATCCACATAATTTGGATGAAAGGAATATCTATCTAAATAGAAAAGCAGATGCAAAACAATTTGTAATGATAAGTCTCATACCATAAAACTTCAAGTTTGAAAATTATTTTGAAATAGAAATTTCAAAAATAAATGCCAATGTGTTTTTTTTTTTATATCAACATGAATTCAAATTCAAATTAAAGTGTCCTATTTCCATTCGATGATTTCAATTTAAATAGGGATATGAATTTTGAATTACTATTTTTCTTATGATAACAAAGTATAGAAAAATATGTTTTGTGTATTCATTAGATTGGTATAAATATCGAGTACACCTATTTTTTTATCCATGTGATATTAATTGCATTTAGCAACTTGTACATCTAAATCACAATTATGTTGTCGAAAAAAGTAATAATTAAATAGAATTTTGACAAAAACATAAAAAAGTGAAAAAAAAAAAACAAACAAATGACTCTCATGCATTATCGGATATTGTTGTAACTATCCATATATTTAGTAGCAAAATGAAATTTGTTGAATCTTCTTTCTCCTATATTTATGGTACCCTATTATTTATTAATTTAAAATTGTGCAATAGTTTTATTTTTGACTAAATTAATAGTGAAGATTTGGCAGTACAGCAATAAAATATTCAGTATATTTTCACAAGCACGAAACATAATTTGTGTAAATGGATGTATTCATTCAACCAACAAAAGGAAGGTCATTTGCAATCGAAGTCGGATATTTTGACACTATTTTAGAGATCAAAGACAAGATCCAAAGAGATCAAGGTATTCCTATACCAAAACAAACTCTAATCTTCAAAGGTAACGTGTTAGACGATCATCTAAACGTTCATTATTCAGATATCCTTGATCGTTCTCACATTCAACTCGTCATAGAATCCGAACCGGACAAGAATAACGTGGTCAAGATAGAACAACCGGCACCATCATCTCTAACGAGAAAAATCCAACTCCTCCTCAAAATGCCAAAGTCCAAACTCGGAGTCGCGTTAGAGGTGGACGTTACGGATAGTGTTAGGAGGGTAAAAGAGAGAATTCATGATATGGAAGGTGTACATGTGAGTAAATTAGTCATGCATGCAAATGGAATCGAATTGATTGATCATCAGACTCTTCAAGATTATAGACTTATAGATAATTCAGAAATCAATGTTAGTATCAGACCTAGTACGATCATGGTGTCCGCACCACCACCACCAACAACAACTTTTTTGGGATCGCCCATGAATAATAACGGAAATGGACTGAAGAAATTAAGAATTATGATTTTATCGAAATGTGGCACTAATAAAATTCCGATCGAAGTTAATCCATCAGACAATGTGGGACATTTGAAGAAAGAGTTGCAAAAATTGGAATTAGAGCTTCCACAAGAAGGGTATTTTTTTATTTATAAACAAAATGTTATGGATGATGATCGTTCATTTAGATGGCATCATGTTTGTCAAGGTGACACTATTGAGATCTTTAATGGTAGTGTCACTGGTGGAGTTTGATTTATTTATTTATTTATTTATTTTTGTTGTTGTATTTTCTCTATTGGTTCAAAGTTTAATAAAAGTATATAATAAAAAAAAAGAAAAAAAAGAAGAGATTAAATATGTTGATTGTGTTAAAAACTATTTATTCTAAGAAACTTGTATATATATGTTGATGGTGGAAACAAAACTCACAAAAATATTGTGAGATCAATTGAGAGTTTACTGAAAGTAATATTTGCGTATACTCTATCTTTCTCTGACCTTACTCGTACATTCTACCTTTCTCTGACCTCACTCTCGCAAAATCACGTATGTTGTTATTACTATATATAATAAGTGTGAATAACCAAGCGCCACACCTCAACATGTGTTCCAATAAGAATCACTACTAATATCCAATGTATTTATAAGTGGGCCCCACCACCTTCCACTTAAATACTACATATTATATATTAATTACTATACTATAAATGACTTAAATACTCCATATTATATATTACAATAATTAACACCTTAAAATATTTAAAAGTTATATAAAATATTTAATTGACTCTCTAAAATTCTATTGGTACCACATAAAATGGATTATATAATAAACATATATTGTTTGAAATTGACGAAAAAGAAACAATAAATTACAATAATTAACAAAATAAATCTCTCGGCTCCAACAAATCTATCAATTAATTCCACAAAAATTGGGACATGGCAAATAACATATATTATTAAAAAAGTAGGTTCAAAATGTAGTATAAAATAACAATAATTTAACAACTTTAATGTATTAAAGAGACATATAAAAAGGGTTAATATTTAAAATTCTGCATGTGCCACATAAATTAGAACAAAGAGAGTAATAAATATTATTTTCAAAAATTCTGTTAAAAAAAAAGTACTACAAATCACAATAGCTAACAATTTAAAATATTTTAAAAATCATATAAAATTTTCAATAACTTCTCAAATTCCATAATATGACATAAATTAAGAAAATTTAAATAAAAAATTAAATATTATATATATATATATATATATTGGGCCCCGTGCTGGCACGGGGTCCTATATCTAGTATATATATATATATGCCATAAAATGGGCAATTGATTTAACCATCTGATTCACCCAAAAAAAAGACATTACTTTATCCTTGATGCAGAAAAACAATCTCTTTAAGTGATTGTGTTGTATGAACAAAGCAAATTACTATTTCTTGAGAAAATCATAGAATAGTTTGTAAAAAAATCAAAACTTTTAATCTCAATCAAATATTTAATAATTTATGTTTGTTAGATTTAACAAAAGGTCATAAATGTTGTGTTTTTGCTTTCATTTAGTCGAAGGTCTATCAGAAACAAAATATCCTTCCAAAGGTCTTTCGAGAACAACCTCTCTACCTGTCAAGGTAGGGGTAAAGTCTACATACACTCTACCCTCCCCAAACGTCACATGTTTAGGTACAATGTTCGTAGTTTCTGCTATTTTTGATTTATTTGCGCAGTAAGATGATGGTGTATAACTTGCATTCTAATAACAAACGGTTTGAAGAGTTGAAAACTAGTTTACTGTAACAAGTATGAATAACACAACAAATTGGAACATAAACAGCTTAGGATGCAATTAACAGAACCATATTCTATATATTAAGAAGGTTAAAACTAGGAAAATTAAGCTGAAGCTAAAACTATTTATAGACTTTGTTCTAAACACAATAAAAAGAGCACTGATTTCAACTTCTTCTGTCAACATATTTTCTTCTGCTTTGTTGTTCCACACCAATTCTAAATGGATCTAACATGTGTTGCACTACTCCAAGCACGACGACGATTTTTACACCAAAAACACAAGCCCCTGTTGCATTCTTCCATGAACATCGCATGTAGTTTAGCCAGATGAAAACTTGATGTATTCTACAGTCTACGAGTTATGTTGCTCAGATCGTCCAACAAATGCGCTATTTTTTGGTTTTGGAGGATCCCGGAAGGGGTGTGCTGACATCTTTGGAGGATCTGAGTAACATATGTTGTGATAAAAAAAAAAGTTGAAATGTAAAATGAGAAGCTTACCGGTTGAACCAGGCTAATGTGGAATTCTGCATCTTACTCGCACTTGATTGAGCGGTATATGTGGCGGACGAAAAACAAAGCAGCTCGGAAACCAACAGTTCCAAGCATGAGGAAGAAGGCATAGCAAATGCAAGCCATGTAACCAAAGAAGAATGAGGTTTGCATGAAACCTGACATATCTGATCGGGCATAATAGTAATACAGGCAGTAGCCATAGATGAACAAGCCGGTTGATCCACCACAAACGAATGACCTAGAAGATCAACGTACATGTTAGAGACTCGACAAATAACATGTATTTTCAAAAACAAAATATTGTCAGCTTTCAAGAAAAGAGTTACAAGCAGAAGAGATGATTTGGTATTTGCTTACCAACTGCAAAGACATGAAAAGTAAAGAACAAATTTCCACAACAATACAACTGACCTACTTAAACACACTAACGAATACTTGGCATGATAGTGCAGCATATTATTAGTGACATATTAACATGCAATACACAGGAACATTCGGAGTTCTATGTATGCCTGGGAAAGGATAATCATTTGATGCATTCAACAAAAGTACAGAGTGTATAGTACTCAATTCATTTTTTGCATCCTTAAACTGTTTGAAAAGAATTGGATCAATTAAGTACTATTAACTTACCTCCACCACCATTCATGGTCTTCTGCGGCAAGTTGGAAGTATGTCAAAGCCACCGTAATAAATGCAGTGACAATGATCAGAATGATGAAAACTATGAATAAGATACTGTAAATCGTGTAAATCCTATGACCCCACACGCTGGCAAATATGTAGTAGAGTTCAATGTAGATAGCACTGAAAGGCAAGAACCCAGCCATTGCCATCTGAGGAAGAGCTCCACGATACCATGGTAATTGTGGTATCTCTCTTGGATACTTCGTTGTTCGAGTTGGAGCTTGAAATTCTGCCTTGCTATTCTTTCCTGCAATTCCTCCCAAGACAAGCAATGGTGATGTCACAAGGGCCCATATGAGGAAAATGACCACGATGGTACCGAAAGGAAGTGCTGCAGTGGCATGATACCCAATTGCAACAGAATTAAGGAAGCAGAAAGTTAGAAGCAGCGGCCCACAGAACAGACCTCCTGTCAACAACAAGTTCCTTACCTGTAAAAGGAAATTGAATTTGAGATCAGTACACATTTTCTTCTTTCTACCGGAGACCAACCAAACAATGTCAAGTAATTATTAACTCCACGAAAGGGACAACCACTACATTAATTGTTAGGAACCACTGAATTCGGTTTCAATGATAATAAGTTGCAAGGCAAAAGATGTGAAAAGAGAGGGGGAGAGAAAAGACAGTGAAAGGGAAGGGGGTAAACTTAAAATAGGAAGTTGTCTACAAAAGAGTGTCTATCTTACAAAATTCATGCAATCCTAAAAAAGAGCATAGTAAAATCGGAAGCAATATTCCATACAGGTGATACCAACCAATCGGAATTAAAGTTTGGCCATGTGCGTACAATTAAATTAAGAGTGCTTTTAAATAATATTTTTTTACAGATTTGTATGTCAGTGTAAAATGTGAATAACCTCTAGTTTTAGTAACATTAATTTGTCTTAAAGACAAGTTTCTGTAACGAGATGAAACAGGTCCAGATGAAGCGTGAAGGACAATGAATAACTAACCCTTGATAAGTTTGGATTAAGGCGCAGCAATTGTTGTTGCAAAGGAAGGACAAAGATGATGCTAATCGAAGCAAGAGAAGCTCCTCATTTACGATACAAAAGTCTATCTTATGCTCTCAAAATTTCCCCTAATTCTATTGTGGCTTGGTAACTGCCCTTTAATCAAAATCCCATTACATTTCTACTAAATTTTAAATTCGAATGAAATCCTACTTAACACCCCCCACCCCACTCAAATATTATCTTTATCCATCTTCTCAATTTCTTCCATCTCTCTTATTTCTAATTCCTCCTCAAATCTCTTGTTCACTCAGCAGTAAACCCCTCCGTTTTCTCTTTTTCCTCTTTGCTCCTTTATTCAAGTCCTTCCCTTCTTTTCTTCCCCTCTCCGACCCTCCAGTCAAGACACATCTTCTCCTCCTCCTGTCCACCCACCTTCAATAATCCACCTAAAAAGTAAAATTCATGTACTCTTCCATCCAACAGAACCAAATAGAAGGATAGGTTGCTTTAAGTTAAGGGGTAATCATGTTAATAGAATCATTTTTGAAATATGCTAGGGTGTGTTGCCAAAAGTTTTTTTTTGTATAGCTAAAAAGATTATTGATATAGGGGCAAAAGAATTAGTTAAGCTATTGTGGGATGCATTGTCCAAGATCCCTTATGTGGGGAGGATCTTTAGGAAATAGAGTCCACCATTTCCCCTCCCATAAAACAAGACTTGTACTGCAGAATACGCTCTGTTAAACTAAATTCGCGGAGGAAGTTTTCACCTTGCTATAAAAAATCCTATCATGACTACTCCATGTTAAAACCAAGAGACCTCAACTAACAGAAGAGAAATATGAAAATAAGGGATCTGAGTAAACAAAATAAGAGATGCACTTGCAGGAAATTTTGGCTACTTTACAACCACCAAAATAATTCTCTCCATACTTTCTTACCCAATTTTTCCCTTCAAGTTGGCAATAGAATGATGCTGCAGTATAGCCAGCAATTCCTGATGTAAGAGCGTAAATAACCACCAAAGCTGTGAAAAGAGCTCCTCGGTTGTAGGGGTAAAAAACACCAACAAGAGCAAGTATGAATATGAAAATTGCCCTGGGAAAAAGAGGCGGCAAGAATTAACATTTGTCAAAGAAATTTATCACGAGAGCTGAATGGATTTTGCAAATCTAGAACTAAATAAACCCATATTATAGGCATGCATACTCACAGGGTAAACAACTGTGTGCCAGAACCCAGGGCTGCTGCAAAAAGTGACTTCTGCTTCGGGTACCTAAATACATCACCATGAATGTACTTCCACCCAGTTTCTTCTTGGTCATCAGCTGCTTCCTCATCATGGGCATATCTTTAACCAAAACAGTAAATGCCATAGGATAAGTACAAGCTCCTTAATTAATAAGTATGTTACCCAACAAAGTTTTTGTTACATACTTGACAAAGTCATTTTTAAGGACGCGCATCAGAATTGTAGCAAGGAAACCAGTTAAGAGCAAAACTGTGACACAAGAATTAATGATAGAGAACCAGTGGATCTCCAAATGATGTGGTAAAGCTGAAGTCTGCGAGTACTTTTCCATCCTTTTCTCGAAAGGGATGTGTGTTTCCTTCCATTTTACAGAGTACATGAAGTCTACATCAATTTCCTTATCTTCAGTTATGTCCACTAGCGCATTGGGGTCAGTTCGTGCATTGACTTCAATCACACGGTCTTTATTGTGATGGATGTCAAAATGAAGATGTTTAAATAGGTAATATTTGTACTCACTGGGGTCAGCTTTCCCCTCCTTATCTACCTTACCGATGAAACCCCAAATAGGAAGGTCATCATAGAACATCTGGAAGTAGTAGTCCTTGGCAACAGCATCACGGAATCTTGCAACTTCTTCCTTTGACAATGTCTTCTTGCAAACTACCTCGGTTTCTCGATCATTTGTGAAGTCAAGTTTGTATGGAGCAGTGACTAAACGATCTCCATTCAACACCTCACCAAGAGCTTCAGTTTTATCTTTTACATGACCTAAAGCAAGAGCATGAATAGATACATATTCCAATGGTTGTTAAAATGTAGTCAGCAATAAAAGCTAAAAAGGGCCAAAGATATTAGAGCAAGAGAGGGCAGAGAAATGAACCTGACCTGGAGAACAAAAAGGAAGATCAAAGTAGCGATATGTTTCACTGCAATTGACGGTAAAAACGTGAGATATAAGTGGAGAACAGTAAATGTAGCATGTGCTAGAGAAGTACAATCAGAAATATTTTGTCAGTTTTTGATAAGTAGAAGTAACAATCAGAGTTATTCAAGAGTTTAAACTGATTCACCGAAGTTGTTTCAGTTTATATACTGCATCAAAGGAGTCAATTTTCACTAACTCAATGCTTTGCACTCCTCAGAGCAAGTGCGAGAAACAGCTAAAGACACACTCCAGGGGAAGATGCATCAATTGCTGTTTAATTGCTGTAAGCAAGAAATCATTTCAGCAGCAATTTGCAAACAAAGATGCAGACAACTCTCCAGGGGAGAAATCAAAGAGAAGTCACTAAACGACCATTCCAGGAAACTGGTGAAACTATTACAAAGAGCAAAAGAGATTCAACGAATCCTAGGGTTGGTGAAGGAAGTGTGTGAACAAAAACATCCAAAAAAAGGCACTTAGCACATGCTGAATGTTTTTGCCTCCATATCTAGAGACTCAGAGTGATCAGTATAATTCCTGCTCCTGTGCAAGTGACCGCTGAGATAAGTATCATCCACAGGGGAAGTGAAAAATTTCTAGCAGAGCTACTAGGTAGTTCCTCTATTCTTTCTTAAAGGAATAAGGACACACCATATATCCACATTGTACATGCTTTTGAAACCATCTTGGTGTATTAACAATACAATATATTGAATTATCAAAAGAGAGAGTGTGAGCAGTGGCGGATGTATGTTATGGATTATGGGTGCTTAAGCACCCATTGCCTTTTGCGATAAACACTAATATTTGTTTGTAATATCTAATAATTCATTCAAATGTATCAACTAAGCACCCACTTTATATAGCAATTCTCAAACTAAAAATAATTGAGCACCCATAAAATAAAATTTCTGGATCCGCCACTGAGTGTGAGCATTGACACACACACAAAAGTTGAAAAGACTCTTTGTGAGTATAAGTATGTCCATTTTAGAACTTTGCTTGCAAACAAGTGTGAGGAAATTTATGGGTACTCCATACTACCATGCTCATGAATAAGCAAGCACCAAAATTCAGAACAAAATTTGAATCTTTCAATATCTAAAGCAAAGTGATTAATGCTACAATAACTTTTATGCATAGAGCTGTCTGCAAAGCTCTCGGGTTAAGCAAAATGGATGAAAGTACTCAGTTTTTCATGATTATATCTCAGTAGCTACCTTTCACCAAAATAATTTTCTGAACAGAGGACTAAGTGATGGTTTAGACTAGCTCTTGGAAGATAGGTCTGGCTTTCTCACTCTTATGAAGCTTCTTTCCTTGTTCTACAATTGTTTGTCATCATAAAAACACCTATAACTTCGGTCAATCATATACAGAATATATCCTAAAAAAATGCTAATGATATCTAATGTGCCAAGACACAAACTTAGCAAACATAAGAGCCGAAACAAGATAAAAGAAGTAGAAAAAGTCTTTTTCAAAAAACTACTGGCATGCACACCACAAAACTCTTCCCATATCCAAACATCGAAAGCATAAAAGACAAGCCCTTTGTCCCGTTCTCTTTTAACAGTGCTCTTACAAAATGGACTAAATTAAATTTGATCTAGCATGTAGAAGAACCAAGACGTTGGACAATGTCTTTCTCCTTAATTGTAGATATACAGATAAACTCTCAGATGAAAAGATTCACAATACTCAATAACCAAGTAGACTCATCAACATACATTGACAATTACTGCCTAAATCCAGCAAATATCATATAAGTTTCCCCTAGAATCCATTCCAAATCTACTTTTTTAAGAAATTCAGCACGTCAAAATGTAAAGTTACAACCAAAATGTAAAAGAAAATCTCCCAATTCTTACAAGATGACCAGCAAATATAAATTGAAACAGATCAACATTACACCCAAAATTCAGCAAATTCTCATCAAGTTTTCCCATTTTCAATCCAACACAGCCCAAAACAAAATCTTGATGCTCAAATATTCAACACAGAACATGCAAGCTACAACCAAAAGAAGCTCACAATTCTCAGAAACAAAGGTGACCCAACTAATATACATTGAGAAAACTCAACAATACAGCCAAACTTCAGCAAATTCTCGACAAGATTTCCCCTTTCCAATCCAACACAACCCAAAACAAAATATTGACTTTTTCCCAGATATTTAACGCGTACAACATGTAAACTACATACAAAAGAAGCTCTCAGATCTCAGAAACAAAGGTGAACTACTAATATACATCGAGCAAACTCCAATATACCCAAAACTCAACAAAGTTCTCACAAGATTCCCCTTTTCATTCCAACACTATCCAAAACAAAATCTCATTTTTTACCCAGATGTGCAACAAGTACAAAATGTAAACTACAACCATAGCAAGCTCGCAATTCTCAGAAACAAAGGTGACCCACTATTATACATTGAGCAAACTCAGCAATACACCCAAATTCAGCAAATCCCAACAAGATCCCCCCTTTATTCCAACACTACCCAAAACAAATCTCATTTTTTACCCAGATACTCAACACGTCCAAAATGTAAACTACATCCAAATAAAGCTCACAATACTCAGAAACAAAGGTGACCCACTAATATACATTGAGCAAACTCAGCAATACATCCAAATTCAGCAAATCCCAGCAACATTTCCCCCAAAACGAAATCTTGAGTTTTCCCTAAATATCAAAAGGCCTGCAAAATGTAAACTACATGTCTACATCCCAAAAAAGCTCACACCCACTAATACATATTGATCAAACTCAGCAATACACCCAAAATTCAGCAAATACCAGAAACATTTCTCCCAATACAATCATCCCAATACTACACAAAACAAAATCTTGATTTCAACCCAGATATCAAAAACGTACCAAAAACCAAAAAAACTCATAAAAATGAAATCTTTAACGAGAAAAATGAAAAGGGTCAAAAGGGTTACCTCGGATTATGAAAAGGACCAACTTTATTTGCATACAAAGGGACTTCTTCTCCAGATTTATACTTGTGATCTGATGAATCCGATCTCACTTTCATAGCCCCAAAGAACAAAAGCACCAATACGACAACGTAATTCCCACACCCCATACTACTCTTCCTCACCATTTTTTTCTGTTTTTTTTCTTACTCACATACAGAAGAAGAAAACAAAATACCAAAGATTGTTTCTTCCTTTGAAACTCTTCTTTTAGGTACAGTGGATTTTTTTGTGTAGAAGAGAAAGAGGGGGAAGTGGTGACCACGCGCTACTATAGCGAGTTTGTAACAAACGTAATGGTGACCTATCAAGGAATGACATGTGGATAACGACGTGTCAACTCTTTCTTTTGTTTTTTTTTTCTTTCCATTTGATAAAAACGTGTCACCAAGGCTTAAGGTAAGTTCTACAGAGTAATGTTTAGACAAATATTATTATATGGGACATAGTGTTTGTCAATCAAGAACGTCCACATTCAGAAGATGACGGAACTACAGATAAAGATGTTTAGTTGAAATTATGGACAAACTAAGAGAGATATGATTAAAAACAAAGATATATGAGCAAAGTGGCTTTCGAGGCATATAAAGAGGATGTGCGTCAATGCATACATCAGTGGTTAAGGAGGCGTGAGGGATTGAATGTAACATTAGTTATGATCAGAGGTTGAAGTATTCAGGGAAGGTGTGTGATTAGATATGACATGACACAACTTTAGCTTACATAGGAAGATTTGGAGGTCGAGGATTAAGGTAAAAGTCTAGTAAATAGTCGAGTATTGCCGCACTTTGTGTGTGAGAAGTAGGGAGTTGTTAGTCACGCCATCTCTTAGTTTTCAATGTGTATTATAATTTATTGTTTCATTTGGTTATTATCTCGCAATTTTACTGTCATATTGCTTGAACAAGTACTCCGACTTTTACTTCAAAAAAAATAATTTTGAGCCAAAGATCTATTGAAAACAATCTTTTTATATCTTCAAACTCCACTTATAAAATTATACTAAATATATTATTATTTCTTTTCCTCAACGTTGTGTGGTTTATTAATTGAAAAATAAAAGACATGATATTATGTAAAAGAGATATCGTGTAAATAAGACTTCAAATTAAACACACATAATATAAATTAATTAAAATACATGATAAAATATAAGTTGTTACAAGGAAATCATATTACAAGTACACAAGAAAATTGTCTTTAATAATGGTCCAATTTTACATTGTCGATTAAAAGAGCTCATTATTAAATACTTAAGTCATAAACTCATAATTAATTCATCATATCATAAACAATATTTATGAATTAATTAACAAACTCCCTTAGTCTTTTTCTTTTTATTAGCAACAAACTTCTTCCATGCTTCAGTAACCTCTAACTCCCATTCTCTATCCGTTTTATGATGCGATGCACTGTCGCTACCGTTCGCCGCGGCCGCCTCCTCGGCCATGGCGAGCTTAGCTTTGACACGTGCTGGAAGCATGTCGAGCTCGTGGAGGACTTTAGCAATGTCCATAACCTATTTGTAAAAAATACGAACAAAAAATGTAAAAACTTAGGTTAAGACTTGAAACACGATACAAAATACTTTTCTAAAAGAGATTGTTGTGAATTGAATGCAAACAATTTTAGTGAATATAATAAATCTATGTAAAATTGTAGAGGAATTTTTTTTTTTAAGAAAAAAACAACAAATATTTCTAATAACTTCTCATTCAAAAACAGTTTATTTACCTTATATGTTTCATTTTATATGACATTTTTATTCAGTCAATTAAAAAAATAAAAGATTTTTAAGTCTAATAAGGAACAATAACACTTTTATCCCATCAATTATGGATAAAATGTGTGGTTTTGATCCCTTATGATATAAAATAGGTTATATTTGAATTATTTTTAAAACTATGGTTACTATCAAATATGTAATAACACTATAAACTTAACATAATAACATATATAAGTGGTAAAATAAAATAGTAAATTTGTGAATAAAGCAAATGGATCAAATGTGCATATATTTCAAATAATTAAGGATGAAATGTGCTTAGTCGAATATTTATCAAAAGGATTACTATTAAAATCTATCAATAACCGAAGGACCAGAAGTTACTTCATTTTATAGTTGCAAAATATTCATATCATATTTAAGACTATATGTTTCAAGAATCTTCCTTTTACTTTTAAAAATTGTATTCAAGTAAATATCGTCATATAAATTGAAACAACAGCTAAACAGAAATAGAAACATTACCAGTCGTTCCGCAAGTGTTCTAGAGAAATCTTCTCTGATAACAACTCTAAGAACTGTGATGTGTTGAGCATCTGGTGGCATAGTGTATGCTGGAACAATCCATCCAAATCTCCTTAAAGTTTCAGAAATTTCAAACTCATCATGTTTGCTATTGTCTTTAAGAGAAAATGCAACTAAGGGAACTCCAACTTCTTTGGAGACTATGTCAAATCTTCCTGTCTTTTCGAGTCCTTCTCTTAGTACCCTTGCATTTTCTTGACAATTCTCCATTACATTCTTGTAACCCTGATTTAACATAACAAAATATTGAGCTTTAAAGCGCGTAATTCTTAAAAGATATATAGTTTTTATACACTAATAGTAACGGTAGCAAAGTATATGTTTGATCATATTTTTCAAAAATGTCGTTGAACTCATGTTGGATGGTCTAAAATAGTATATACTTTTTAGATGATCCGATACGGATGTGTAATCAAATCTTGAGTTTAAAGCATATAATTCTTGAAAGATATATAGTTTTTATACACTAATAGTAGGTTAAACTACATTGATAAAAGTAATGATAGCAAATATGATGTTGCTTGGATTTTTTAAAAATGTTATTACATCTGTACTGAATCATCTAAATCATATGTACTTTTAGAAGATCCGACTAGGATGCATAACAAAATTTTGAGCTTTTATACATGTAATTTTTGAAATTATATAGTTTCCATAGCCTAATAATCAAATCAAGTAATAGTAGTAAGTTATGTTGTTTGGATCTTAATTCTAAAAATGTTAGTTGTATTCGAGTCAGATCATACGAATATCAAGTATTTTTGATTGATCTGACATGTACACAATGATATTTTTGAAGAATCTAAGAAACATAGAATAATTAATCTTGTACTCACCTCATGACCCAAGCGAATAAGTTGGTAATATTGAGCAATTACTTGACTAGATCCTGCATGATAAATTGACAATATAGCAAAATATGATCAAATTTATAAGAGTAATTATATAAATGACATTGTACTCTTCATTTAGTTGGAGCATCATATTGCTTTATGATAAGTAGTATACAATATACTAAAATCTTATCAAATTTTCAAATGAACATTACACTGCTAGAAATCAGTCAATTTTTGACAGATGTTTCATGAAAAATCCATTTTAAAAGACTCATTAGAGATATTTTCGATAGACTCTCAATTTTCAGATTGATTTCTAGTAGTGGATATAAGACTAGCTATAGTACAATGAGGAAGTAGTTTTGAGATTATTATTTTTTGTCAACAATAAATTCATATGGATTAAGAACATAATTATGGAATTATCAAAAGGGATTAATTAATTAATTACCTTTAGAGAAATTGAGAGTGAAAGTAGGTTGATCAGCACCAAGATAATTAATGTGGAAAATAAGTTCATCAGGCAAGTCATCTTTGTTCCTCCAAATGACCCAACCAATACCAGCATAAACAAGACCATATTTGTGACCACTCACATTAATACTTTTCACTAATGGCAATCTAAAGTCCCATTCAAGCTCTGGATAAATAAATGGTGCAATAAATCCACCACTAGCTGCATCCACATGAATTGGAGTGTCCCACCTGTTTTCCAATTTACAAACTCAATATTATACATTATTCCCTATTTTTATGTTAATAAATGTTAGAAGGCGACTTATGACATCTAGTAGTAGTTATATGTTTGTCGTTGGGACGATGAATGTGTCGATATATTCCCGATTTTCAATATACCTATATAATTTCATGTTTTCATGTCCTTAATGTTACAAGACGACCTACGACATCTGACAAACAGTTGGTATAACTTTGAAAGTTTGAGACAATAAATGTGCCCACACCCGACTCTCAATATACACTTCTAGAAGGGTGCCAAAACTATTGAATAGTATTATTCAATCATGCTATAACTTAACAACCAAAAAACTCGACGTTTATGATGAAAGTATTAAGTACTAATGTTAGAGATTGAGATTTACCCTGTTTCTTTGTTCTTCTCAATCAAGAGGTCATTCAATTTCTTTACATCTTCAAATTCTCCATTAAGAGTTGAACCCAAAATAGCAGCTACACAAATTGTGTTCTCATCCACCATTTCCACAGCTTTCTCAGGATTCATCACATAGTATCCATCAGTCAACTTCACTTCCTTTAGCTCAACTTCAAAATACCTTGCAAATTTTTCCCAACACACCTGTTGAAATTACTAATTAGTCCCTCTTATCTCTTAAAGATAAGGCAGGTTACCTGCTATAACATGTTAATATACATTGATGATACAAAATGTGTTTATACTGGCAATGTATATAAGCTAAGTCCATGTATATACAATTAGATTTTTCTATAACATATATTTCACTATAACGATCAATTTTTTCTTTGGAGCCGACTTTTCATATTATGTTATATAAAAACGTCATTATAGAGAGGTTCATGAGCTAATATGAGGAAAACATGTAGAAATAGCAGTTATTAACCACTTTTCAACTCAATCTTTAAAAACTAACTATTGACATGTACATATGTAGTTTCAAATTGCACAAGTGAAATTCCGTAATAAAGTATGTGGAGTCGCATGTGTAAAATTTGGGACTACACGACAATGACTATTTTTCGATGACAGTGCTTATTAGCCACTTTTTGACTCAATCTTTAAAAACTAACTACCGACATGCACGTATTTTCAAATTCTACAAATAAAACTCCGTAACAATGTGTGTGGAGTCACATATGTAAAATTTAAGGCTATAGAATAATGACTATTTTTCGATTACGGAGACCAACAAGTGGCTATATGTGAAAGACCATACCTGGACATTGGCACCAGTAACAATGTTGGGCTTATCATAGGGCTTTCCTTGGGCTTTCATTTTGTTTTGCCATTTTCTCTTAAAGGCCAATCCAGCAAGCATAATGGCTTCTGAAGATCCAACTGTTCCAACTCCAACTGCAGTTTCTTTATCTTCAAGTGGTGCATTAAATAAGTGTGCTATCATGTTTACACATCGATTCTGCAAAATAATAATAAAAATATATCATGATGTATCGATTTTACAACTTTACTTGATATGTAAAGAGGATATGTAGTAACTAACGTTGCAAAAACTCGATGTGAAAGAATAACATAGTAATAAATCTATTGATATATTCATCGTAAAATCGACAAACATCTGTTAATTTTGTGACACGTCCATGTATTTGTTGTAAATATTATGTCATAAATTTGTGTTTTCTTGTATGAGAAGAGGTAGAAATACTTGTATAATACTAGAAATAACTAAAGTACTAGGGAGGAAGAGTTATGGTCATTTTTCCAAATTTGATTAATTTCATCATAATATCATTAAAAAATTGTCAATTTATGGTGGGCCACGAAATAATATTGTTAAAGTCATGTTTTCTAGAATCTTTTTTTGTTTTGTATTTTTGACACTTGTTAGACTACTAGTTTGTTTCTAGGTTGTTGAAAAGTCCAATTGATTAATTACGATGTACTATGCTTAGGAGAAATTAAAGAAATTCAATCATCTCGAAAACGACTTTAAATTTTATATAATCATATTTTAATTTGAATAATTCAACTGTCTAATTAGTCTCCAAGTATAATTTTTGAGGGCAACACTTTCAATATAATTTTTTTTTATAAACTTAAACTCGAGATGTCTGATAAAGCATGGCCTATATAGATTCAAAACTCCGAAGTGACATAAGATAATGATAATTCAGTGAAAAATAATTGAGCAGATTTTTTTCAATTATTATTTTATTTTATATTACTTTTTTTTTTTTATGTAAGTAAGAGACTTATGGACTAGCAAAAACACACTAATTAATTTGAATTTATTCAAATTTTAATACAAGTGTTAAATACCTAATGAGAAATAAAAAAGAAAATCATTCTAGAATTTTAGATGTAAGTCGGCAGCACTTCAAAATAAGGTACAAAGTAAATATCTTTATTATAAGAAAAAAAACCATTAAAATTCCACTATAATTTCGGAGTACACAACTTTATCAAAGAAATTTATCATATATATATATATATTATATAAATTATATATTATTTTATATATATAATTTAATTTTTCAACGAAGGATTTTCCCGACTCCAGTCGGAGTTGTAGATAGATAGAGCACTTAATATGAAGGATATTATTTGGATGTGTGTGAACAGAAAGAAAAAAACGCGTGGGGGCTATAATGCATTGAAGGACCACTTTAACAACCCATACTCTTTACTTATTGGCCATATTCTATTTTGTTTGGTTCTCGATATTTATTTTGATTTTTGATTCATTTCATTTTATTTTACACGAAATTTATTTTTTTTTAAATCATTTTCTATAAGGACTTTTTTTATTGTAAGAGCTCGGAATATAAAATTTTCGATTGAAAATGGATGATTCTATATGAGTACCATTCTTTATTAGATTCTTTTTTTTATCGTCAAGACTAGACATTGAACTTGACATGTAATTTTTTTTTAATTTATTAAAGGTTGAGGAATTTCGTGTGTCCATCCTATCACAATTTTGGATGGCTCCTATTTTCTTATTTAGCACTAATTTTTTATACCATTATACTATTCAAAACTTTAAATCGTTGAATTTGTAAAAAGTTCCATCAGGAATTCTGACTTTTATGAAAACTAATAATTTCCTATTAGACTTGACAGTTAACACCACTATATATATATATATAGTTTGTGTGTTTGGATGAACTTAACAATATTATTGTAAATCATGTATTTGTCTTAAAGAATCTATTAAATTTGTATTATTAACATAAAACTTGATTCTCAATACGTAAATTTCAAATCCTGATTTGTTTCTATGTATACTTATTTCACCATATAATAATTTGATTGTGTAAATATCTTACCGAACTTGTGGATGACCTTATACTTGCTCAAGCTATCTAAACTTTTTTCTTTTTATTACTTTGATTGTGTATATATCTATCTCTTTACATTGTCAATACATAAAACTTAAACTCCACTGAGACGACGGAACAAAATAATACCTGAAGCTCAGTGGTGACAGGATATTCATCCATGTCAACATAATTTTTGTTAATGGAATCCATCATCAATTTGTCACATTCTGGTTCCATCCATGTTGTCACAAATGAAGCTAAATTCAACCTTGGATTTCCATCTAACATAAGTTCATCATTTATTATTTGATAGGCTGCTTCCTTTGGTATTGAATTTTCTGGCATCTTAAACCTAAAAAATTAAGAAAAATTAGATAAAATATTTTTTGAAAAGAAACTCTAACTTTAAGAATATTTACAAAAGAAGATAATAGATTTGTGTTGGTACGACAGAAGTCATTTAAATGATCTGTTTTTTGAAAAATATTTTTCAGTGTTTTGATGAAATTTGAGAGACTTTAGACCTTACAATTTGAATTCACGAGTTACCAAAAAAGGAAAGAGACATTTTATTTTCTCGACGATCAAGCACTAAGAAAATAGAAAGTAACTTATTTTGCTATAATTTTTTCACAAAAAATATTTTACGTCATACCAAACATATCCGATGATGAGTAAATTCTTTAAGTGGAATGGATAACTTTTATCGCTAAAAAATAAAAAAATAGACGATAGATCATGATCATCAACAAATAATCTTTATTAGCTACGAACTATTTAGCAATAAATTGCGTATTATCAATACCTTGGAAGAGAAGTTCGAACATATCGAGACGCGAAAGTCGAGTGAATGGACATGTCACTTTCCGACGCTATCTTGGACAGAACCATGGTGGCGTAGTGGTGGTACTACGACGGAGAAGATCAATGAGTAAAGCAAAAGAGAGAAAATGGAGAAAAAGAAGATATATTTTTTTCTTGAAGAGGAAATGTATAAGAAGAGTCACTATATATAAAATAATGAAAAATTCGGAATATGTGAAAGGACTAACATGTCATTATTGAAACTTAGAATTTAAGTTATAAGTCTATAAACATCCTCAATTATTTTATTTCTTGTAGCAAATAATTTATCTTATCTTAAAATTATAAATTCAATATTTAAGTAGATTTATAGATAAATAATTTTAAAACTATTTGATAGTATAATTTTATTTACTCCAACAATGTGTTAGGTTGTTGATTTTGATTTTTATAAGTCATATCATTAACCACAGAAAATTAAAAGAGATATGTAGTGACAATAAATTATTTTTTAGGTGTAATTAAATTAATATCACTATATCCAAAATTGCTAAAATTTCCGATGACATTATTTATATAGAATACTAGTTATAACTTATAAATACCTATACTATTTAAATTGTCGCTCAATAATTGGTACAAAACTATTAATTAGTTGTAGTGATAGAAATTAGTCTCATTCAAAAAAGTTGATTACATTTTTTTTTTAAAACAAGAATATAATAAAGGTAGCAATATAATTATTATGAGAATTTTAATACAATTAAAGTAAGAATAACAATATGGACTTTTAACTTTATAAGTTGTAAATGTAATGATGCTGCTTAAAGTATATTATAAAGATTTTGAATTTTAAAAGTTTCCACAATTAATTTTATATATTAATAATTAATTAATAATACTCCATATATACTACTAGCTTTTGTACTTCAACTACGTATTCATTTGTTCAAAGAAAAAATAATTTACAATATAATAGCTTTATTTGAATATATTTTTGAGTTGGACAGTTACAAATATGTTATTGGAATTCCAGATATATTCTATTCTGACTTTTTTTTTATGAAAAAAATTCCATATATTAGTTGTCCACATGCTTTTCTAGGTCTCTCTCATGATTAATAGTTTGTCTAGTTATATACATATCTTTTTATCGAGCTCAATATAAATATCAATCATCGAACAGAAAAGTAAAAAGTAAAAGTCATTTATGAAGATTTGGTTTACACAAATCCACATATGCACATGCTTCAATCTTATATTATGTAATATATTAAGGGATAAAAACATAGAGATAAAAAAATATCTTATAATATATTTAATTTCAAGAAATAAGTAAAATAATTAAATTAAATGAATTTTTACTTCATTGGAATATGTGAATCGTCGGTGATACGATAACACCTTCCCACATGTTACCAAAGAATCTATATATATTGATTTTTATTCTAAAAAATCTTCCATTTTAATTTAACAAAAGACAAGTGGATACCAAATTAAAATTAAACAATTATACTATACCAAAATAATTTATTTGAACCAATCACTCAAGAACCATTAAATTATTAATTTGCTTCCTCCACCTAACTCATCATTTTCATAATTAAATAATATCTTTAAGTCCAACATATTTTCACTATAACAAATAAAAAATTATGCGATAATAATTATATTATATTAGCGATAACTATATAATATTGATATTTATAATTAGTATTTTATATAAATATCGCCTAAAATTTTTAACGATTTTCGATGTAATGACGTTATCTCATTACTACTAAATATTTTAATGATAATAAATATTAATATTAACAGAAAAATCTATTGTCACGAAGTGTTTATTTTGTGGTAGTGTCTTGTTGTATGCTTTTCCTATTTTTTCCCCTCTTAACTCGAAAAAATCATCTTAAAAATGGAAGAGAACGAGACAACTATTGTGTTGGTTAAAAAAAAATACTCCGACCTCTTTGCCCATGATATAAGAAAAGTAGATGTACATAAAGATAATATTAATAAATTCAAAATTGATTTATATCTACTTTGGTCAATAGTGGAGGACTAATAATAAAAGAAGACCAAATGCTTTTAAAATTGTCCGCATAATTCACTTAGATATCTTAACTAGGACTTATACCTATTAAACATTTAAATTGTTCAAAATATATACCTATTAAACACAAAATACTGATATAGCAACTTAAGTGTACCTTACTTGACATTAGGCGCGTGAACAGGTTTCAAATATCATTTTATTTTTATTTATTTTTCTAAGAACTTGTTACCTTTTTTTGTTTTATTGACATTTGGCATTAAAATCACTTTTTTATTTAAAATTAATTTCTTGGTAAACCCAAGAAATCAACCCCACCCCCTTTTTCAACCATCGTCTTCTTCGTCCATACTCTACGTTTTTTTTAACTTTGTTATTTAATTTATTTTCATTCTTTATATAATTTGAATCATAATTAATTTGATTTTGCAATAAGAAAGAAAATTTTCAGGCATTGAAGTTAAGAAAGTTAGTCGGACTCTGTTCACCTATATTTCTGGCCACTTTGAACCGACATTACCACACAAATTAAAATATAAGTTAATTAAGCTTATTGACAATGATATCTTAAAATTTCATAGAATTAATTTGAGTATTCTCGATTTCTTATGGCCGTTAATTTCAAAATGATTCACATTGATTTATTTTTCACAGGCATCTCAAAAATCATTTTGCTAAGCTACGGATTATTCATGAATAGATTTAATCCCCATAATTTATAGGAATAATAAGAAGAAAAACAAAAAATAATCTGCCAAAGGAGTCGAGAATGGCGAGTGCCTAAGGAAGAAGAAGAACGGGCAAAAGTTTTAGTAGGTGGAGTTGAATTATTTAGGGTTAAAAACAATACTTATTTTTTTATCTTTCAAAATTATAAAATAATATTTTTTTTATAGTTAGATTGGGCAATAGTCCATGGGCCAGGTGTCATAACTTTATTCGTAACTATTTTAAGCTACGGAGTGTGAGTTACACGCAGAGGGATTTATGTATCGATTGTCATTTTGTGTCTAATAGATATATATTTGTTAATATTAAAGTGTCTAATAGGTACTAGCTTTAGTATTTATGTCTAAGTGACTTATGCGAACAATTTTAAGGGGTTATGGATGACTTAAGCCAATAAAAGAACATGACCCAAAGTCCATGCCGACATATCATTATCATTTATTTATTTAATTAAAATAATTTCACTTTATGCATGACACCACTTGTTGTGTTGATGCCTTGATTGAAGGAGACAAGTGCCAAATTTCTAAAGGACAAAAAAATTGTAGTAATAATTGCACACTAAGGTGTGGCTTCCAAGATTAGTGAGATGGGTGAAACTACTAAATATTTGTGTAACGAGATCATTACAAAATAAAATCGATCAAAATACAATTATTATAACGTATATAATAAGGAATGAGTCGGAAAGAAATACACATAATATTTTATATTAATTCTATGTAGAAATGAGAGTAAAATGGATGGGAGGGAGTAGCAAGCTTCCTATTTTTTATTATATTTTGGCATAATATTAACCATTGAGAAAATTTTATAATTTAAAGTTCAACTAATTAAAGGAATGTTCGACTTTGAAATGTATTTTGTTTTTGTCTTCTTTCTATCATCATTACACCTATAACGCGTATGTAAGTGTTCACATATGATTGGTTAAAAATATTTAAGAAATTCTAATATAAATAATAGTAATAAAAAAGGACATTAGAAAAGGTAATTAAAAAACAAAGTCAAAAAAGTAGCATCTGATGATCCAATGAATAACGTGGATGATTTAATATTGAAAGTGACCAATATAGTCTTTAATTAAACGTATCGAGTTTGAACATAAAATATAAAAAACTCCTGTTAAAAAAATAATTTTAAGAAAATAAAATTTACATAATGTGAATATAAATTAGTTAGGTAAGTAATTTTTGGATATATAGATGAACAAAACTTTTGTATGAAAGCGGGATTTCCTCTAACAAGTTTTATGTAGGTCGAATCTTAATTAATCGAACCACTTTTGAGAATATTATCAGATGATTATAAGAGAATTAAAAGTGATTGAGCAATGACCATTAGAGAGTGTATATATCACTCTATCGCTTAATCAGAAGTGTCAAGTTCGACTATAAAAATAGCAAAATCCTTAATAAAAAGTGTTTTTCTTAACTAATTTAATGGGTCTTACATGATGTGAATTTAGATCAATCAAAGAAATAATTATTGAATATCAAATAACTATATAAAAAGAGATAGAATTTTATATTAGAAGTCAAGTTTGAACAAGTGAACCTTACTACAAGCTTAGAAATTTCCACAAGCCAACTTCAACATTTAGAAAAGAATCTTCCCCACACAATACAGGGTTCATATTACAATTTCGATATAGATTTTGAATACAATCTTTCGTTTTCTTCTCCTTTCTGCTGATGTTGATCACAACCTACGTTATCATACATTCTAACGATAACAAAAATATCTTCTCTTCTAAGTTTGAGAACTTCTATTATATGTATGACTTGAACTTATTTTTATAATTTTAATGATGTTTTTAACAAATTATGAATATTTGTGTTCTGATAATATGAAAAATATTTATATAATTAGGAGTATTTGGAATCCGTTAATTTACTATATTTGTGATGCTAATTTGTTCCATTTGGAAAGTTCTAGAAGTTCTATTACAAAAATATCTCAAGTTTTTTTTCTTTTGACTTAATTGGAAATGCGAAAGGAAAGAAAAATCAAAGGAGTAAATAATGGAGTAGGCCAGACATGATGAAAAATTGATGGCAACAATTGACACTTTCCTTCTTTGTTTGGACATTACATTTCACTATTTTTGAATTATATTCCTTAGATATATAAAAACAATAAACAAAAATATATTCTTAAATGTGATTTCTTTCTTAATTTATAGAATTCATTTACAATTTTATCTGATTAATTCAAATTCGTTTTGTGTATAGATCTTTAAAGAAGAAAATGTTTTCTATTAAGTTTTTTTCCTCATCATTAGAGTTAGAGATCTCTGCTCAAGGATGAAATAATCATATCGACTCACCGCAACTCTTGGTGGTTGTTGTAGTGAAGTTGAGTTCTTCATTGATGAGTTCAACACTTACCACCAAAATAGGGCAGATAAT